GGCTGCCAGCCAGGGTCAAACCATGACAGCACTCTACTCTGTTCATTAATCAGGCTGTCTTAACAGTAATGTGTTTGTGAGTTTACAATTTCTAATGTGCTGCTTTATATCCTCCTCCATGTCCTGGGAATTTTTTTGTTGTTTTCCTGAGTAAAAACATGTGAGGCAGACTCTTTGGGAACTGCTGAAGGAGAGATGAGCATGGCTGACAGTGGAAATGTGGGTGATGCATGGTCTTCTCCTGGCTGAGTGGTGACGTTGGCCCAGCTGCATGTAGGAGTATGTGTACTGCTGTGGTTCACGTGTCGAACACAGGCTGAAAGATTCCAGTGACTGTTCAGGTTTCGTAGGTGAAAGGAACCTAAATAAAGAGGCTTCTTTCGGGATAGTTACTAAGGAAGAATCCAGTCACCAGAAGCAACAAGGAGCTCCTGGGAGTCTCAGAATGGAAGAACTCTCATTAACCTACTTGGAGCAAGGGCATGTGTGCACATGCACGCTCTGTAGTCTCATAGCTGCTGTTCTTGAAAGGGAGCAGTGGCTGTGTTTCTTGGACCAGAAGTGTGAGATGAAATACTGCGTTTTGCTAATAGGGTTAAATGACCTGAAATATTTCCTTCCGGAGTATGACCATGGTAAGAGGGGACTGGGTAATTTCGGATGAGTCCTTTTGGCACCGTGAGCTAACTGCTTCAAACTGCAGTCTTTGTTTTCATTGCACTACTGAGCAGGGATTTGTTAAGTATCATGCTAAAAATAAAATCATGTTTCCCAAAAGCATTCAGATAAGCAAGAGATTCCCACTTCACTGTAGCTGCCTTGGATTTATTGAAAATCCACTCTGACAACCTTACTACTTGTGCCTTTCTTCTCAGCTCACCAATTCTGTTGCAAATGCTGTCCTAAAATAGCAAGAGGAGCAGAGAGTGGAAGTCTCTGAATAAAAGCTGTGATAAAATGGAAGTGTGTTCACTGCACTAACCTATTTGCTTTTTCCTTTTAGGCACAATGACTACAGTAGCCCAGAAGCACTTTTTGGAAGGGCAGACATACTCAGTCCCCCTGATCCAACCGGACTTACGCAGGGAGGAGAAAAAAAAAGCGGATGCACTTCAGTATCTGCAGAAGGTGTCGGGTGATATCTTCAACAGGTACGGGGCTGTCACATGGGGCTGGGGGCTCAGCATTCACCAACAGGAGACAGAGTGCCGTGATAAGGTTGCAGCAGTGAAAGAGGGTTGCATTGGCAAGCAGTGGAAGTCCAGAAAAGGGTTAGAGAAGGACCAGATGCACTTCAGTAGAAGTTTCTTGGATTTGGGCCTGTCAAATTTAAGTGTGATGAAATGGCTGCACAGGTTGTTTGTTATTAGTTGTTTTTATGCAGTGGCAGACTCCCACAGTTTGCATTACTGGTTCTGGTGCAATTATCCTTTATTCCTTCTTGCTCATTTTTTAAATGGGAGACTTTCTCATTTAGAGTGTCTTGAAGATATTCTTTTTGAGTCATTGTACCTGGAGCAGTGGAGTAGAAAATGTCTCTTTGTTCTGATCTCTGGATCTTAAAAACTGTTGTCTTTGGACTTCTGTTGTTTCACTCTTCTGTTTTTGTATGTGAGGAGGGCTAAGCACACAAGAGTGCCTGCTCTTCTCACCATGGACTTGTAATCCATATAAGTGATCTCTTCAGGGATTTGACCCAGACTTACCTATGGTCATCTTCAGGATGGGTTCTATAAGAGTACCTACATAGCACATCAGAGGGATCCCTGTGTTTGCCTGCCATGGTTCTTTTTTTCATGTGATGCTATCTTCGATATCTCAGTGCCCTGAGATGATGTGTTGTATCATTGGTGTAGAAACAGATCAGCATTTATCTTCTCATGGCCTGATTAGCAAAAGCACTTGTTTTAGTTTCTGTGGGAGCTGTGACTACCTAGTTTGATTTATTACGGCATTCTTTCTTAGTTTGAGTTTTTTTTGTTTTTAAAGGGCAGGTTAAAGTTCTTCCATTTTTGGTCCTGCTGCACTGAAGGGCAGCCTCTAGGGAAAGGGTAGTCACTAAGGCTGAGCTCAGGTCATTCAGGGAAATAAAGGCTTTTCGCTGGAATAGTTGTTGTGTGGGCAAGGGCTGTGTGTAGGCTGGATTAGGTTGAACACAAGGTCTTATTCTTTTATGAACTTTTCAGTGTAGGACCATTTATGAGAAAGGCTGGGAGAAGACTTTATAGAGCTGCCAGAAACATGGGAAGGCACCTCTCAAACTTGGAACTGGTTGGCAGTGCTGCCCTTATCTGTGGGGTGAATAAAGCTGTTGATAAATTGGGAGCGGTTCTTTCTCTGTCTATTTTTTTTCTTTTCTTTCATTCTCCTAGTCACTGCTTTGTAACATAGTACCCTGTAATTTCCCCTGAGAGACAAGCCTGCTGTTTTGTATGCAAGTCACTCCTAAGTCCTGAACAGTGACTGTGATGCTGTTCCCTCACTCTTTGGTGCACTCATGACTTTTTAATTACCAATTTTTTCCAACAACAGAAGGTTTCATTGGGCTATTTGTTTGCTTTGCCTTTCCTCTGAGGTCTCGGCTCTCTGATATAATTAATAGCTATTTAGTAATCATGCAGGCGTCTGATTAAGAGTTCCATGACCTTGGTTGTTCCATGCCAATCAAGGGGAAAGCTCTGAAGGTGAGAACTTTGCCACTTACTGAAGAGTGACCTTATATCTTCCCTTACCTGAGATAAGGCGACTCTGTCTTCCATTTCCAGGAAGGAGCTGCCTTACCTGGGGAAGCTGACTGCTCTGAGCTGCCAAACAGCAGCTTGCAGTGTTGATGGAGAGGAAACTTGTTCAGTGTGGCAGAGTCAGCTGAGTGTGTCAAACTCATTACCTCTGTTCTACAAAGATGCAGACATTCTGCGGTTGTTTTGTGGGAACAGTTGGATTGGTACAGTGCTTTCGAGAGTGGCAAGCCAATTTGTAATGTGTTGAAGGTGGAGTGAAAGAGTCTGTCTCCCTCTGTATGGAAAAAGGAGTCTTTCCACAACCAAATCTTTCTTTCCATGTTAGCTGGTCAAAGCTTCTGCTTTAAGTTGTTGCTGACATGACAGTTGAGTATAAATTCTTAAAACTAACACATCCATCCATTGTGCAAGGAAGACGAGGTTTTTCTAACTCTATCTGAAAACTGACTGAAGGCAACCATGATACTGTTGTGGTTGTAGAGAAAATATTCCCCGGGCCAGTTACTGGCTGTGCACAAATGGCAGTGGTGAACAGTGCCTGTGGATTCAGTCTTCTCAAGGGGATACAAAAAAAGTCACCTTTGCATCTGGAGAACCGGGAGAAAGAAGCTTTCTTCCCTTTCCTCTGGTGTGGGGAATCTGGGAAATAGCCCATGGGACATGTCTCTGCCAAGCTGTCTTATTTCCAAATGTTCTCAAACAGGCTGAGTGACTATTAAATTTAACTGTGGCAAGGTAGGTGGTGATTGAGGCTCTTTGCAGAGTTCCTTCATTTGTAGAGAATCGAGGGATGTGCCAGTGCAAAAAAACCCGGTTGCCTATGGCTGAGACCCAGAGCAGACCCACTGGGAACTGCCTTGGAGAGTAGGTCTAGCAACCCATAGCAGCTAAACCTCTGTGCCTTGCTAACAGCACACCTGGACTGCGATCTGGAATGGCTAAGAAGGATCAGGGAGTAGCTCAGCATCCCTTTCTGTCGTTTTCCTAACCCTAGGAAGCAGGGACCCATCCAGCCTCTTCCACGTGGAGAATGGCGAAGAACCGTGTCCTACAGAGGGAGGGCACAGACCTGGGCAGGCTCATGACTGTATGGATTGATGTCTTAGGTCAGTACTACCAGCAGCCCCATCCTCTTGCAAGTCCTGTCCTCTTGCTGCTGGTATTCATACTGTGAGGAGATCAAGAAGCTGCATGTACTTTCCAGAGTTATATTTTGGAGTGATGGAAATTTTAACCTTGTATATGTTAACTGAATTCATGTAATTAATCTGCTGTGGAAGCGACAGTAAAGATCAGATTCATTGCCTGTAGCTACTGAGATTTTAATACATATCATTACTGCTTAAAACATAAATATTCTAACATAGCCAATCTGACATAATATCTGTATGAATTTAACTCCTGGAGTTGTAAGGAGAGCTTTTGATATAGGTCGCAGGAGGCAGAATGACCAATTTAAACACTCAGTTAACTGGTAGTCTTTCATTTCTGGTTTTTTTCTATCATTACCAGCATTTTCTGGATGAGAGCTTGTGTTGGAATAGTTTGTTGTGGAATTTTTTACAGGAGTGTTACTGCGATAAGTACTTCAGATAGATGCTGGGTTTAGCTATCCTGAGATGCCCACTTCATTATCTGGGCTTATCAAACCCTTTGGGATTTCTATTTCTGAGGAGAATTTTTGTTGCCAGGAGATGTTAATGACCTCTAATATGTCGGTTCATTATTCAGAGCGTACACTTTTGTATAACAGATTTGTGGAAAATTGACTATGCAAATTATCTCATGGAGTGTTAACAGCAGTAGAAACAAAATAAATACTTGAGGTTGGAATGTTGTTATCAAGGTCCCACTCTCCTTTGCCTGTGATCCAACCACAGAGTTGTCCAGCGTACAAAATTTCTCATCCACAGTACTTTGGTAAACAGGCATATCCTTTTTGTTCCTCCCCAGCTAGATTCAAATTAATTTCATATTAAATATTTGAAAAGGGCTTTAATATTAAAGAAAGATTTCACTGAGAGCCGCACTTCTGAAAGCAGTGGTTGGAAAACAAAAGCCCTGTGGAGATGCTGCCAGGTGTGGGGAGGAAGCCTGGTAAGTGTGTGATTAGAGTGGCTGATTGGGCAGCAGAGCCTTAAGGGATGTTTGGGACAGGAGTGGGGTTGACGTGTGAGTAGTCCTGAAATTGAAAATACAGACAAAACCGTAGTCATGAGGTGCATTTGGGTGCTCTCCCCTCCTTGTCTTAAACTTATTAGTGTGATTAGTCAGGATGATCAGTAGTGGAAATGGGTGATTGAATGTATCCATAAGAATGTAGTTGATTTAAGAGGTCTGTGGAATGTATCATTAAAGATTTGTCGAAACTTGCAAAAAAAAGTGTCTTGCTTCTAGTTGTGCCGTGTTGTTTGTTCTGCACTGTGGCTCTGGGGTGCGGCTTGGAGCTTGGAGCTTAGTTGTTCCTCTCCTGGCTGTAAGGATTTGGTCTTATTAGGACAAGAGCTGTCGAGAGGACTCCATTGAGATGAGCCACCGTTTAGGTGAGTTTGCACCAGGAGGCAGGCTGTAGCACAGACAATCAGTTTTTCTCCAGTTATTTTGAGAGTGGTACGGCTCTTGTTAAGCATCGAGTCACCTCATGGTACTTTTGAAGTTGTCCTAGAGGTCATCTGAGAAAGGATGCTAGATCTAGTTTAATTTCAGATACCTCTTTTGAGGGGCTGTAGGAGCAGTTATTTGCTGCCTGGAACATTAAAGAGAAACAGTGAGGTGAAAGGAGCACATGGGCCTGCAGACCGTGAGGACGTAGAGGTTGGGGAAGATATGGAGGAGTTTTGCCTGAAGGTGTTGTTTTGTTTTGGTTTTTTTCTGGTAGAAGCATGTCCAAGTAAAGTGGATTTTTATATTTTTTTATCAATTTCTTAACCGTAACACATGATTTGTAAGGAACTGCTCATTTGTTTTAGCCTTCTTGTCCTCCAGAAGCTAAATTTGACACCTTGTAAAGGTGTAGCTTGGGAGAGGTTCCAAGCTATTGCGAAGACTTTAGGAGATGATATATGAGGGTCAGCATGCCTGGAAGGTTGGTGGCAGCTGGTAGTAGCAAGCACCCTACGCCCACAAAAAGAGATGAAGGGGTAGTGACTGTTCTGCAGGAGTCCAGTTTACAAGTCTGTCTTGATGCTGCTGAAATCCCAAAGCTTAAAATCTAGTGGGGTCTGGGTCTCAGGCTTAGTTAAGATGCCTTGACAGCCCATGGAGTGGGGCAGAAGGTGGGAAGTGGCACAGAGCCAAGCGGTCACAGCTTGAAATGAAATGGGAATAGTAGGAGAGAGGATACTGAATGGTATTAGGACATGAAAAGATATTTCCTTCAAAATGAAACAAACGTGGTGGAAAATTAACAA